ACGTTGCCCCCCCTAAACTAACTCGGCAAGGCCATCTGGCCAACTCTTTTTTTTCCGCATTCGTTCCGGCGTCATCATTCTCCAACATCACAGCTTCTCCTCCTCCAGCAGACGTTGTGCACCTGAATCTCAGTCGGCCATGGTTCTTTGACGATTGAAACGTGTACTCACCATATTCGAAGCCTCTTCCCTCACACCTCGGACCCATTTTCCAGCCATTTTGCAGGGAACGTCTCCCCACCAAGACCGCCGTCAGATTCGCTAGCCATGGCTTCCCCCTTCGAGACCGCGAAGCTCACCCTCGACTACCTCCCCTACGCCTGCGAATTCGACCCTCAAGATCCAAATCGGCTTCTCATCGGTGGAGGAGGTGGTGCCAACCGCAGCGGTGTCGCCAATAAGATTGTTCGTCAACCCCCAATCGCTCTTTCTCTCCCCCACATTCATCTGCCTTTTCGTGCGACTGACCTTTTGCGCCGCAGACAGTAATCGACACCTCAGCTAAAGAAGAACTGCAAATCAGCGGCGAAGCCGACCTCAGCCGTAATGAGGACAGCGTCATGACCCTCGCCGCCGGGCCCAAGAAGGGCAGAACGAGCTACCTCTACGCCGGCATCAACTCGAGCCCCGAAGAAGTCGAAAAGGGCAAGAACGAGCACTTCCGCGCCTTTGGCATCGAGCAGAGCAAGGCGCGCGTCTCGGCTGGCGCAAACGCTCCTAGTGTGAGCCTGGCTGAGCTATCGCGCACCTCCATCTTTGCCCATAACGAGGTCGACAAGGATGCGTACCAGCGCGTCCTCCGGCTGTCTGCGCCGTACGGCGAGAAGCAGCTCGGTGTCGTGGCCACAGGACTGGCTAAGCAGTCACAGATTGCGATTTTTGAGATTGCAGCTGGGAATGCTACCAAGCCTAAGATCCTCGGACAGTTGGACGTCTCCAAGGAGCCCGTGGACGTGGATGTCATTCAGACTGGAGAGGACTCGTACCAAGTCGCGTACTGCGACGAGCGCGAGTTGTTCATCATCAATGTCGTCAAGTCTGAAATTGACGGCCCTCACCACGCCTATGAGATCAAAGAGGACGGTTCTGGCACCTGGCCCAACTTCCGGTCAATCCGGTACCTGTCGAAGGACTTCGTCTTGGCGGGCACTAACATTCCCAAGCGGGCTGGTGCAATCCTTTTGGGAATCAGACTGCCGCTCAAGGAGGACGAACCTGGACGCTTGGCGGCGACGGTTAAGCTGCCCAAGGCAGTGAATCAAATCACAACCATTGCTGCGCGGAACCTCACTCCTCCCTCGGCTCCTGGCGCCAAGATTGGCAATGCGCAGTTCCTCGTCGCCGCGGTTGGCCAGGATCGGTCGATATCGCTCTTCACGCTCGAGCATAAGGCGCATTCGAGCATTGACTTGCTCGTCGACTTTGATCTGCTTACGACGTTGAAGGAAGTGCACCCTCTGCAGATCACAAACGTCGCCCTCTCCCACTACGTCCCGCCCAAGACTACCGCCCGCCCTCAGTATATCAAGCTGGCGAGTATCTCGATGAAGAACACCGTCATCGTGCACTCTATCCTTTTGAAGAAGTTCACCGACAGGGACGCCCCTATCCGCAAGGGCGGTCCGCCGCGCCCCCAGCGCTACGCCGTTGCCCTGCAGCCCCGCAAGTGGTCCAAGACCTGGCTCGCAGCGACGACGGTCCTCGTCCTCGTACTCGCTATCCTCTTCCAACTCGGCCTCGAAACCATGGGTGCAGTCCAACCGCGCATCCTTCCCGGCGGCGGCTCCGTCGCGAACATGCCCAACGAGTTCCTCACGTCTCTCATCGGCGACGTCCACGCTCTGCAGGGAGACCCCATCGTCATCCGCGAGGACGTCGTCAGCCCCACGCATATCGAAGAAGACCCCGTCCCTCGGTTCCAGGCCGCCGTGCACGACGAGGAGGTGTACGGTCCCGCCGTGAGCTGGGAGGACCTGGCGCCGCAGCAGAAGAAGCTTTGGAAGGAGAAGCTTTCCAAAGCGGGTCACTGGACGCAGAATATGGGCGAGAGCGTGTTCAAGGGTATCTTGTTTGGGGAGATTGCGGGGGCCGTGGGACGCGCTGTGGGAGGTCAATAAGGCACCCCGGGGCGTATGTCTGATGGGGAGGAGCCTAGGAGGGGCAATGAGGTATATTATAAGATGTGTTTACGGAAATGTCGTTGATACAACTTGTCCGGGAGGGCATGTACGATTTAATCACGAACTTGTACGATTTTATTGGAGAATGATCTTTTGGCAGACGAGAGGTTCCCTGTGTGAGGTTGATTATTTCTCTGAGTGTGAGCTGATGTGATGACTCTTATTTAACCTCCCTCCATCAGAGTTTCTAGGGGTGTGTATTACCAGCATGACGAATGTTCCGGCTTGCGATGCTTCACTGGCCGTAGAAGATGCCCCGTCGGCGATGGCACGGCTAGATATCGGGTAGTCTGCAAGATCTGTCAGCTCCGTTCTGTCTGTGGAAGTTTTGGCTGCTTCTTGAGAGTGGCGCTCTTCATGACGCCAACACGCTCTTTTGGACGAGAAGGATGAAAAGCCTCAAGTCCCTCAACTGTGTGCGCTCAGGGTCCGGTCCAGCGTCCACATCGGTAGGTTGCATACCGTTGGAAGATGGGGGTTTGTCATACGTAGACATCGAATCTGTCTTTCTACTTAGCTGACATACGTTGGTAGTTGCGCTCTTGCAATTCCAACCTCCCTCACTTACCCCGACAAAATACGGGGTCCTTGATAACCTTACAAATGGATGAGTGGGTAAGCAACTATGAAGGGTTCATCATAGAATTTTTAGTCCTCTTTTAAGCGAACTAGGAAGAGTCCTAGGAAGCTGTTGATTGTTCCCACTTTAAGATCGGCCGTCTCAACTGCCTCGTTCTATCCAAGGACAAACTTCTGGTCCGATTGAAGCTGTCTACATGTGTTGGAACCCATCCACTCACCGGCATGTAATGAATACGAATAGACGTCTGTACATGAGGGCACACCCTCTCGAAAGGCAACCGCGAGTGAAATTTATAGGCGCTCGGCATCATCTTGGTCCTGCACAAACTCGTTCACGTTCCTCTCACATGAATAGGCAAAGATTTCTAGCCAAAATTCTTTCAGGGTGGCCTGGTGGCTGTGTTTCCGAACGAAGCAGCCGCGCGTTAGAGATGAGAGCAGCAGGGACTGGCACGGCGGGCTCGGCCCGGGCGCGGGTGCGGGCGCGGTCGCGGCGTTATCAAAAACTGACCGGGTTCTACTTTCCATCGCGCCTACCGTCTCCTGGTCTTGTGTTTGGTTGTGTTCCTGGCTGTATACCCCGAGGAAGGTGAAGCGAGTTCTTGGATGGAAGATAGTTGGAAGGTAGGTTCCTTTTCCCCCCTGAGGTGGCTATTGTAAAGAGATTGGGACACCGCGCCGATGACGTGGTTAGTTGCCTGAGTGCCCCGTGATGATATACACAAGCCTCAGAAACGACCTAATCTGGCTGGCTGGCTGGCTTCTGCTGCCGCCTCTGAGGAAAGGATTTCAACTTACAGGGTAACTGATATCTTTATATACCTATTTCTATTCGAAATCCGGGTTGGTGTAGACTTGGATCTAGTTTAGCAGTGTGAGCTGAGATGGCATGGAGGAGAGATGGACATGCTGCTGGCTGCCGAGACGTCATGATGTCGGAATTGATGTGAAGATGTAAAGAATATGGGACTATGAGGCAGGGAAGAGAAATTTCAAAATGGGGGAGACTAAGTTAAAGTAGTAAGAAAGAAAGTCAGTCATAGCAAAGAGCACTGTGCTATTCAGACCGTCTATCTCGATTGTCGAACAGACTCTGGGTAGGAGCATATCAATTAGCCAAGAATGGTGCCGGAGAGCGCTCATGTTCATCTTTAGCACTCAGCCCCTTCATCGATCATTTGTAAGCTTCCACTACACTAATCTGCCCTACTCAGAATCAGGCGATAGAATATCAGAAAGACGGCGAGTAAACCTCATACCTCGAATCGGATATGGAAAAATACACTCATCACCAAATGTCAAAGACGTATTGGGCGATGAAGAAGCGCAAGAGCACAAGACAGGACGAGGCTTCTTGAAAGACAGCACAGAAGCACGTATCAAACAAATTGATTGGTAGTCTTGCCGTCTTCTCAAACTCGCTATACTGGCTTTTTGGCTAGATAGGTGAGTGGGTAGATGGTATGTTTTTGGACAATCTTGCTTTGGCTATACAATTGGATGCTCTGATACTCGAGCCACTTCATCAACATCCACTGTCATTCAACCACGCATGATCTAGAAGGGAGTGGAAGGCACATAGGAAGAGTATCTCATCTACTTTATCCGGTGTACTCAACATCTAGCCTAGCCTGCGAGGACATCATCACCGCCTTTCTTTCGATCGCTTGATGCGCATGACTGAGAGGAGTCCTGTGTTACAGGACCGTGGCAGCGTCTGAATGGTTCTTATGAGGTCTGGGCGTCTCTCGTCATCCGTTTGGCACGTTAGACGTCGCAGTAACCACAGGTCCTCGTCTTATTCATGTAAACTCCCTCACATTCAAACAACAGCTACTCAGCGAGGCAAAAGGCCAGCAATGCAATCTGATCTCAGCCATAGACCGAGGCGCGTCGTCGAAAACTTGATATCGAACACACACAAAGATTCACCCTCAACTTTTCGGCGTCTGGGTTTACCTTTAGTCGGGTAGCAATCGCCAGGCGATAAAGAGACAGACACGGAGATTCTCGGCCGTTTTCCGGGTGGGGTTCCACAAGTCGGGTCACCCCGGCCAAGCCCGCATCCCAGGGAACGGGGTCCCAGCTGGCGGACCAAGCCGGGACCAGTGGAGAACCTCGGCAGGTGCCGTAGAAAAGGTGGGATCGCATGGAACAACCCTTCCCGAGAACGAGAGGGGGAAAGGTGGGAAGAAGGCGACGACGGGACGGGGGTTGATTGTGAGGTCATTCATCCATTCATACAGCCTCAAGCCTGCGGCCAAGCCTGGGGACAAGGTCGGCCGCCGGTACAGCGCCGGCCGGGCTGTTAGATGACGTGACACGGGTGGGTGCGGGGTAAATCCGGCCATCAGCGAGGAGTACAGTTTTGCCCGATCGTACCTGGTTGAAGTGGTTCAAGGGTGGTGGGGTTTTTCTTTTCTTTTCCCTTTCTCCCGTCTTTACTGTAATGTAAGGTAGGCTGTCAGGTCAGGTTCTTCCCCGCCCGCGGTCCCGGGGCTTGCCGGCATTGGGTCGCCTTGCAGGTACGTCCAGGTGGTGGATCCCGGGTGCCGAGACTGCTGCGATTTTCGGAGAAAATGCAAAGTCATAAACTAAGGCAGCCCCGTAGCTTATCGGGGGTTGGAGGAGGAGGAGGACTGTACTGCGTATACCTTACTGTAGTAGACAGCTTTGGAGGTGCGGGTTGGGTGTCAAAGGTGTGCCCACCTATCATCCTTCTTCCCCCTCCCTCCCCTTGCCTCTCTCCATTGACCAAAAAGCAAAAATCGTGTGCAAGAATTGGGTAAAAGGAAGAAAAAGGGACGGGCCAGAAACAGACAGTTTTGAACCAGTACATGGCGGGGGACGTGCCCCAGTCAGGACGATGTACCTCTACATCGGACCCCTCGAGAGCAAAAAGGGAAGAAGCTGGGAGAAAACCAAGAGTCAGTCGACTAAGACGACCGGGTCCGTGGTTCTCGTCCGAGCAAAGGGGAAAAGTGGGAGGATTGGGGGGAAAGAGAGAGAAGAAGCAAAAAGAAGATGGGAATCAGCAAGGAAAGCATCAGCTCGAATTCTTCAATACACCCTCCCCTCTCTTCCTTCACTCCCCTTTTCCCCTCCTCCCTCTATACCTAAGGTTGCTTGATAGCTGGCTCGTCACCGTCCCAGGCCTGAGAGGAGGGTAGAGAGAGTGAGATCATGGCTAGTAGGGTAATGGTCTGCCGGTGGCCCAACACTACCCTTCCCACCCAGAGATAGGCTAAAACTTGACGCAATCACTTTGCGTTGACGGCCCGACGAGGGCTGCAACGTCGGCTCCCGCATTGCGCCGGGTCGGTCTATGCAGTTGCTATGTTTTGCCGCCGCCCAGGGGGTATGTTCGTGTGTGCGTATGTATGTATTGCTGGACACATCGTATTCTGGGTTCAACCCGGGTTCTGCCTCGTTCATCGCTTTCGTCAATGATGTCTCGCAGGGCGACTTCGGTCTCGCAGATTCCTCTATTTGCCCTCTTTTTGCCCAGACGGCATCGTGAACAGCCTCTCCCAATCGCATCTTGCCAAAGTGGTCAGCTACTTGCCGGCTGCTTCATCCCTCGTTCCCTGGATGTGTGTAAAGGAACGAACTGCCGGTTAATGCTATTTCGTCTGTCCGACAGCTAAGGAAAACCTGGTGACAAGGCCAAGGAAAGTAAATGAAAGCAAATACCCAGGAATAGAAGCGTAGGTAGACGGCAGGAGGGAGATACAAGGCACCAAAACTCAATTAATTGCAAATCATCAGTCTTGAACAAAGTTGTGGTGTCGGCGGCTGATGGCCGGCTCAGCTTTGTGCCTAAAGTCCGTCCGTTCGTCTGGCTTCCATTCGCAAGTTGCGAGCGAGCGCCAGATAAGATACGAAGGTACGAAGGCACGATACGAACGAGGCGTGTGTGTGCAGTACGGCACGGTGCAACAACACTTGGACGAGCCAAGGAAGCAAGTCAAACCCCAAAAGCTAGGACCTCCTCGATGATGGGCAGAAAAAAGCTTCGAGAACTGCCGTCCAAGTGATGATAGAAGACGGAACGGTGTGGAAGAGAATGGGAAGAGGACAAGCCACAGAAAGTTTGACCTGAGAAGGCAGAGACGAGGGGAAGGGGGTCGCGGGCAACAAACAGAGTTGGCAGGAAACGAACACATGCGTGACATGGGAAAGATGTTTAAGGGGAAAAAAAAAAGGATAGATGAAAATGTCAACGTCGCCGGGGACGCAAGACGATGCAGGGGAGATGCCCGCGGTTGTGAACTTTGTACAGCCTGTCGTCGGGGAATATTGTCTGGTCGGCTGCTCTGTCTCTTCTCAGCTCAAGCTGTGATGCCCAATTTAGGTTCCATTGTGCGCTCGGAGCAGAGCATGGGAGGGAGGGGGCAACTAGTACTTTGATGGCATCTTTGCCCAGAAAAGACAAGACAACAAGATGCAACTGCAGCTGAGAAGCGTCTGCCTGAGAGAGGCTGAGATACCTACTTCGTACATGGCCTGCCCGATTCAGCGAGACACTTGTGCATCGAGGGGGTCTCGATGCGGTAGACCAAGCCATCTTGGGAGACCGATGCCGTGCGCTGTGGTTAGCGGGATGCAAGGTGCACGAAAACCCGAGAGAAGCATGCATCTCGCGCATCATTCATCACTCACATACGCAGCTCGTGCGGCTGGGGGGGGGGGGCTGTCCGGTATATGTGTCGAGCTGTCGTCGTGATGCCGTGATTCAAGGTGTATGTATCCGTATGTAGGTGAAAGATGCAAGTCAGCGTCAGCATCGGCATCAGCACCAGCATCAGGGAAACATCAGCATCATCCACACACACATGCACACAGACACACACGCATACAGCCGAAAGTAAGAGTGCCTGCTTTACCCAAATGGAAATGCCAAAGTACCGTACCTAGGTACCTGACCTTACGTACATGACGGGGACGCAAGGCAGGTGTCGTTGTCAAACGTGGCTGCCGTGAAGCCCAAGTACGGCAAGAACGGGGACGTGGGACCTGGGACGTGACCCACGGGAAGTGGGGGCCAAAACCCCTCCCCAAAGCTGGGAAGGCACTTACACAGCTCAGCGCCAATGGGAAGTGGAAACGCGGCCCCAAAGAAGAAGTCGTGCTTGCCCTTTGCTGTGCCGCTGCCCGCTGCCCGCGTCCGCCCGCCGTTTCCCCGTAACCCGTAACCCCGTTCCCCGTTTCCCGTCTCCCGTCTTCGCAACCACCAACCATCCACCCTACTTTACCCCCTCCATCCTTCCTTCCTCCACTTACTCCCATAAGCGTCCTTCCTTTCCGTCCGTTTGTTCCGACCCTGAACCGTGTCCAAGCTACCACCACCACCGCCAGGGCAGCCCAAGGGCCGGCTCACCTCGCCTCGGTACGTACCTTTGGCTCGGTGAGCTCATTGCCTGATTGGGCAAGAAGCTCTTTTGCCTTTTCGTCTACCCGTCCACCGTCCACGCCGTCTGTTATTTTCCTTTTTTTTCCTTTATCCTTTTCTTCAAGCGCACCAACGGGAGGGGAGCAGATAGCTTTGATCGATATATTACATTAGCGTCGTTGACAAGTTCGCTCAACGGCACCGGCGTCGATCAATCTTCTTGAAAGGAAAGGAAAAGAAAATACTAGAGGAGGGAAAAGGGGACGAGGAGGGGAGGGGTGTGTGTGAGGGGTTAAAGTCAAGAACACTTAGCCCAAAGTCCAAAAGCTGGCGTCTTGGCTGAACCGAGAAAAGCATTTCCTCTCTTGTAATATTCTTCTCAAATACGCCCCTATGCACGGTAACATTTGTCGGCTAGCGCGACAGATCCCATGAGAAAGGGGGGAGGGAGGGCCTTCTGCGCAGGCGCGGACCGAGTATGTCTACAACACTCTTTCGCCGTCGCTCCGAGGAAACAAGGGGGGTTGTGTGACGTGGCGAGACGACGCTGCCAACGAATTGCTTCTTTCTGCGTTCTATGTCTCTTTCTTTGGCTCTATCTTTGGCTCTATATCTGTCTAGCTTTCTTGGGTATCTTTTCCACTAAGGCGCGCGTGAGACATTTCTGTCCTGTCAAGACGGATTTTGGCACATTGAAAAGAGGTGACGACGAAGACAACGGCGGCAGCGACGGCGGCCTGGGTTTGTAGTCATTGGCATGGGCCCCTTAGCCTCCCAACCCTCCTTCCCAGTCTGAACAAATCGCGCGCCGTTCATGTGGGATGGATGGATGGGATCTGACCTACCGGGTCGATCATAAGCAAGGAGGACGTGGGTGAGTGAGTGAGTGGCAGCAAAAAAAAAGTCCATGTACGAAACGGATTGGGATGACTCGAATCTATGGCATAAGCTGACTTTTTGCCCGGTCAGTGGTCCAGTCAACCGGCCACCTGGAGCCCGGGGCTGCCAAACCACCCTTCGTTTCTCTCGATCATCTTGCGGCTTGTCGCAAATCATCCAGTAAAACTGCTTGGGATCCTTTCTTCTTTTCCCCCCTGACGGTCAAGCTACACACACACACACTTTTTACTCGCCTCACTTCGAGTTCTTTTGGGACCACCCCCACCCCCCCCTGGCCTATCCCCCACGCCCGTGAGTTTCTTCTCGTCATCGGGATTCTGACTAAATCGGCGTTTGTTTATCAGATTCAATACGTAACTCAAGGTTGTGGGTTGGGTAGAGGACACAAGCTTGCCAAGCCAGAATGACAACACACAATCGATCGTCTATTGTTTGATTTTCTATAGATACCAAAAGTCCGGTACGAAAGGATCTCATAATCCGGCCCAAACCCGGTCTCCGTCTCAAACATACGACGCCATCACTGACTAGTCCGGCGTCTAATACATGAAATATCGAAAGCAAAAAAACACACGCAGTCGGCTGTAATGGTGAACAGCCGATGCTCTATCAAACATCCGCTTTGAAAACCCAACTTGATGAACAAGTCCCAGTCCCCTCCGTCCCTTTCACGCCAAAGCTAAAGGAATAAAAGTGCAAAATAAAACAAAACATAAAACCCAACGCTGTGGAAAAGTTGATTTTGGTCGGACCAAACCATCCCTCGGTAGAGGCAAACATGGCTTTCCTTTCTGTTGTAATGATGACTTTGACTCTTCTTGTTGACACACAACCCTTTTCTTCTCTCTTGCTTCCTTCTCCTTATTCCCATGCAGCCAACTCCCGTGTTTACAGCCCATAAGAAATGTTCTGCGTCGGTTGCCCAACTATGCGATTCTCTGAGAGATAAACCCAAAGTATAATAACCCAAATCAAGCAGTCCTCTTTGGGAAACCCCGCAACCTCCCTCCCTCCTATTATAATCTGTATTCGTAGTATAGAGCGAACGAGTTCGAAACAGTGAAACGAAGTGGGTATAAACTGGGTAGCGAGTGTCGATGTAGAGAAATGCGGTCGGTCGATAGAATCCCAAAAGGCCTAAGTAAGAGATGAACACTTTTCTGTCGTACGTTGTTATAGTTCCGTCGTTCTCGGCTTTACCGCGGGCCACCCTCATGGACATGATGGTGATGCCCGTGGTGACCCGGTGGTGGCGGTCCAGCAGATCTGCTCGCGAATCCCGTCTCATGAGGGACACGCGTGTAGCTGGGATACAAGGGACCAGCGGCAGACACGCCTGGCCCCGATTCCTGGCCAGCGTAAGGGCCCTCCATGCCCCGAAGAGGTGGTAGTCGCTCTCCGCCCGGCGCTGTAGACGGGGGTCTCTGCGGCATCATGCCATACGCCGGAGCCTGCATGGGCGGCAGGTTTCCAGCCTGGGGGATCGGAGTGCCATATGAAGGCATCGAGAACTCTGGGGGCGGGGCCGAGTCGGTTCTACGTCTACGCGTCGGTCGTTCCACTGAAGACGCCTCGCTCGATGCGTAGCCCTGAGACTGATGTGGCAGCATCGGAGCTTGCACCATGGGGCTGGTCTCCGCCATAGATCCTCCGCTTCTCGACGACGTTGGGCTCGGAGGTCCGTTTGCCATGTCGCTGAGAGGCGTTCGAAGAACCACATCGCGAAGACGGTTGCGCTCGTCCCGGTAAAAGTCCCTCTCCCGAGTCAACTCCCGCACTCTCGCCTCCAGGTCACGTCCACGCTGTTCCAACTTTTGCAGACTGGCAGTCTGTTCCTGGTCTCTCTCCTTCTTCCTTTGTCTGAAGCGTGCCGAAGCCCCGGCATTCCGTTGGCGCTTCTCGTCTGCCTGCTTTGACGCCTGATGTACGTCTACGGGTATGAGAATGCCTCCCTCGTCTCCCGGTAGCCTGACTACCATGCCACCCTCCGCCTTTGTCACATCTGACCGCAGACTTTGGTATAAGGACGTTCCAGCACCAGGTGTGGACCAAACAGGGACGCCTGGTGACTGTGGTGGAGGATAGTTCTGACCCGGAGGTAGCATTGGTTGACCATGGAACTCTGTTGGTCTACCATGAGGATCTCGTGCCATAGGGGGCAGTTGAGGCCGTTCGGGGTTGCCAGGCTGCATGTGTCCAACCATGGGCTGGGACATGGAACGCGGCGGCGTTGTGAGCGGACCCATTCCTGCTGAAGGAGGGCCTAGGGAAGGTGGTCCAGAGAAGGGTAGACCGGATGCTGAACGAACGGGCTCTTGGGGACCCTCCTCGCCAGGGTAAGGGCGCTTCAGTCGCGAAGCGTTGGGTGGTAAAAAGGGAGTTTGTTGTGGTTCGTGGCCTCGCATACCCGTCTGGCTCACGCTGGCTGCGCGTACTTCTCGAGGACTGAGAATCTGCCTTGGAGCACCCATGGGAGGGAAGGGAAACCCACTCTTGGGCGAGTGTTCCGATGGTGTGTGGCCCAAGGGCGTGGTTGTCGGGTGGCCAGCTGGAGTACCGGGCTGAGAACTAGGATGTCCTCGACCTTGGAATGCATACTGGCGATCACTAGATGTGGTATATTGCCCCGGAGGCATGCCATATGGCGAGGTCTGACTGTCAGTTGGCCGAGGCTGTGATGACTCGCCAGTGGAGCTTTCCTGTTGCGCTTCAGACGGGTTAATCAACCCTCTGATGCCCAAGGACCGTGGAGCATTGGAGTGTCTCTCGCCGGCTGCGGAAGGGGTTGTGACAACATCTTGGAACGCTTGACTGTCTCGAGATAGAGTACTCTGCTGGGAAGTAAAGGGAGCTCGAGATGGTGATTGCGTCGTAGAGTGAGGTGCAAGCCCCCTCTGTGACATCGAGACCTTTTCCCCTTCACTCTCCCGGCCGTTTTGGCCCGAACATTGACCGTTCTGGCCAGTACTTGAAGCCGAGGAATAGTCCGAATCTGGCCCGGGAGAAGAAGGTTGCTTGGTAGTGTGTGTGTTGTTTTGTCCAGGATACCGGTCAGTTGTATGCAGACAAGTTGTCTGTGCGTTTTCGCCCTCCTTAGCCTCGCGGCTACGTTGGGGTTGGTGATGTCCAGAGAATCGGACAACCGCTGAGATCGCCAGATTGTCGGCTTTGGTGGGACTAACTGGGTCGAAGCCAATAGTCCCAAGGTCTAGATATCACGAATAGGTCAGGAGGTAAGAAAGACTTGTTCAACGGCCGCAACGGAAGCCGCCCAGTCAAGTCAATCTTCTGATCAAAGAGCTGGCTAAAGCACGATGTGGTAGATGCAGGTCTATCGAGATTGGCGTCGGTGGTCGTAATGATGACTTCCCTATGTGATGGCAGGCTGCTTTGCTTTTATCGACTGAGAGAAGGAGCTCTCCAGATGAGACGCAAGTTTCAGTGGACAAAGTACTTGGGGGACCGCAAAAGGCCGTGGATGAGGTTGGAAAGCTGGCTGAAGGTTGGCAGTGCCGATGGTCAGGATTAAATGTGTTGATGGCGTGGTAAGAGTGCAGGCCGAACGGGCCACTCATGACTCTGGATTCGATCCCGGGCAATGAGTGGCCGAGGAGAACCTCAGGCACTAGGTGATGGCTGGATCGACTCACTGTGAGTAGCCAACGCGTCCTTATTCCTTGCTAGAGCTAGTTGTCTTTCTTGCTGGTCTTTTCATAAACCCAGGGATGATCCAACAGTTTGACGTATTGCAGGTCTGTCCTCTTGAGAAGAAAGAATCGTTGCAGAACGTGAACCATAAGTGATAGTTGTTGCTAGGCTGGATATTCGAAGCAGTGTAGTGCGGTGAGCCGTGTTCCTCGTGTGAACTGAATGTTATTTCGATAACCGGGCAGGGTGGCTTGGTGACCAAGGTCGTATTCGATTTAGATGAGCAAGTGTGATCGAAAGGAGTGGTTAGGATTCTCTTGCAAAGCTGCTATGGTTCCAATGTAACCGCGGGTCATTACACGACAGAGACTATTAGGCAAGGTCGGGAGGACCAGGTCTATTTGATTCTTTTTCTGAATTGCCCTAGCGTACTGTAGTCCTCTTATGGGCGGCATAGCCTTCTTATCGACCGAACCCTGGCAACTTGCTGGGGAACCAACGAGCTTAACGTGCATGGGGGTGTACACGGTGGTGGAGGAGAAGGAGGAGAAGAGGAGGATGAACGGCGACATGGATTTGGATACAAGTTGAAGCTGTTGGGTTGTGGACAGCAAATGTGCTGGCCGGGGTACATGGCATGGGATCAAGGGAAACACCAGGGGGTAGACCCAGTCTCGGCGCCATAGGGTGCTCAGACACTGACAGGGCTTAGTCGACCGGTTGCTCTCGTTCGGGTCGAGAGGTAAGTAACGGTACAAGTCCCCTGCTGACATGACGGTACCGACTTTTCTCTCTCTCTCTCTGTGCACTTGTCTTGCTTGCGTGCCTTGGCTTTGGCTGGGACCTTGACCTAGGCAACTTTGCCTCTTGTTTTTGCTTCTTGTGACATGCCATGCAGAAATACTTTTTTCCAGGAGGGTTAGCCATGCTTGACGCACGGGGCAAAATGTTCTCGACTGAAGAGCCATTCCGGAAGGGCAGCGAGAAACTGGGATCGTGCTTGCTTCTGCTGCCTCGGTCTTCCTAGCAATGACGGGCAGCAGTTAGTGATGCTTCGCAGCTAGCTAGCTTGAGCTAGCCGTCCGTACAACTTCACAATACTCAGCTCAGGCGGCGTCAACTTTCAAGTACGCGAGGAATGACTGCTCGGCCGAGACGTAGCGGGCAGCTTGTCATGAACCCAAGGTGCCGCGAGATGACGATGCGCTGCGCGGCCGTTATTGTGTCGAGGGCAGCTCCGTGACCTGCAAGGATGGTGGCACGTCTACCACTCCACGATGCTCATTGCGTATCTTGCTGTCCCCCTCTCGCACAGATGTGTTCGCGTCTGAGGTGTGTGTGCAGGTAAGGCACTGGGGTCTGTTGTCAGCAGCAGTCAGATATGTCTGGAAGGAGAAGAGGAATACTCTTACGCCCCAGGAACGGCTTCCGCTGCATGATGCAAGAATCGGGGAGCTTCCCCTCTCATCACCGCCCTTCTGACCGACTTTGGCAGGCCGAGGGAGAAGCGCGGGATGTTGGACCTTTCTCTCATCTCAGCCAGTGCAGCGTGGGAGGGAGAAAAATCCAAATCGGCCGGGATTTCGGGGGTCCCTGCGTAGGTCTCCGGGGGGGGGGGGAGGGGAGAGAAGCGAGAGAAGTAGAACTGGGGAGTGAAGACGACGTCCTTGGAACAGGCTCATGGAAGCTACTTAGACGCTAGGTAACTAGCCGGCTAGCGTGGTTCGTCGAGCATGGCAAGGTACAGAGGGGAGGTAGACGGTAGCGTGCGGTGTCCCGTAACTGTTCAGAGAATAGTGCGGTGGTAGTGCCCAACGTTCGAGTCCATAGATCCCCGTCGAAGACTTTTCATCCCAAAGTGCCCGCCTGCCCGGTGCGGGTAGAATCCAGCGCGGCGTGGGCGATGCTGAGCAGATCGCCATTGTTGTTGCACATCCATTCGGCTCGGCGTCAGTCTCTTGGATAATATTTCATATCTGTATATCCGTACGGAGTACGAATATTGAGCGGAGTATAGGGTATCCAGGTGATGTATAGTATCCGCAGGCAATGGAGCACCTGGTCACATCCATATCTTGTCAGGACCCGGAGCGTCCGTCGGTTCTGGTTCGCTCCAGTGTATACCCAGATGCGCAGATTGTAGCCCCCGGAATCCAGGTAGTTAGCTAAATCCGCACTCCGTGTGTGGCGGTTTAGCCTTTAGGAAAGTCGATTTGCAAGCCCTTGGGCTAATATCAAATCGGCAAGCCGGATAGTGAAGAATGGGGGCCAGTTGGGTTAGCGCAACGGCGGGCCAAATGAATGTCTATGATTGGAATCCATCTGATCAACGGTGACGTTTGGAATGCCCGTCTAGGGCGGGAATAAAGCTGTACTGATTCGCATGAGTGGCCAAGAAAGGAAGACAGGGAAACTTTGAGCTACAACTCTGCGCCGTTATCTCTTGCAGCAGCGGTTCTGGCATCTGTACACCTGACGAGAAGGAGAGCACTCGAGCGCGTGATTGCAGTTCAGGAAAGGTGGGCCGGGGGTTCGAGATGAGATACCCAACCCAGATGTTTGTTTGTGTGGGTGTATGTGTCTGCGTGTTCGAGGTGAACTAGAGGCTGGTCAGTCGATGACTCGTAGTGCAGGTTCTCCCACCGGCGGGATCCGATGGAACACCTGTCGGTGACGGATGCGCGATATTCTACTATTCCGTTGCTTCACAGCGGTGTCCAGGGTGAATGAAGGTTGGGCTGAAAAGAAGAGAAAGAAGCGATCTGTACGGAGTACGTAGGGTCGGTCCATGGCAGCCCACGACGATGTTTGAGTTATCTAGACGTGACTAAGGTACCAACTCATTTTGACAGTACGTATACGGAATACTGAGTAATTACTGCCGCGACTTGGGTTGGACAACATTAAACCACAAGGGGAAAGGACGACGAAACCAGAGCTAGGCAAGATTCAAGAAGAAACAATAGCGGAGCTGGACCAGGAGATGGGTAGCAGCCGGTACGGCAGATGCGGAATGATGTAAGTCGCGGCCCTCTTCTTTTGGGCGTACCGGTACATGAGCCGTGGTTCCTGACCAAGTTCCTCCGCCTAGCGCACCCTGAGGCTTGCGCACCCATCGGCATGTTTCTGCGAGTTGCAGGGGAGACACGAACGGTGCCAGGCACTTGGAGTGCACATTCCAAGGGCATGGTGCTCAATTTACTCTAGGCTCTGGCAATCTACGCAGTAGTGTGCCAGTAGCTACTCTCAGGTCTGGACGGATACGGTTCATCGTGACCCAACTCACCTGAATGTCCTGAACAGAAGTGGGCTGCTTTAGACCTCGCTGTCGAGACATGTCTCCTTCCCCCGGACATGTCTCTACCTTATCCATACAGATACTTCAAAGCATTAGCACGGTAGGTAGCGTAGTGCCCACCGGCAGCACGATGCTACTTCCGAGGCGAGATCCGGCTTGCTGCCGATGGCGACAACCCTCCGGTGCTTTAGAGTTCGGTAGGCAGCGTATCGTTCGGAATCTGGGGCAAGCCGCAACGCGGGATAGGGGAGGCTGGAGCTTGGAAGAACGGTGTGTATCTGGAACTTGTGTGCCAGACTCTCAGCAGAGTCTAATTGCAAGGAACTCAACTTGTGTATCGTACTTGATTGACCTCGCTCTCGATTGGATGTCATGCGTTCTTGGACCCTGACCTTCCGACGGCTTGGGCAGACAGGCGACATACTCCGCTCCTGGGCCGAGCTTTAGGAGGGGAGGGGACGGCTCAGGTGGTGTCGACGAGTGTGTGTGTCCTTTCTTGCGCAAGATGGATAATGAGGAGCTGCTAGCCGTGGGTAAGGAAGTCTATTTGATGACGGAATTTCCTTGCGAGGGACCACTAGGCAAACATGCAAGCATCACGGCATAGGACAAGCTGGGATGAAGGTGGTAATTGGAATTGGGGGCGGGAGGTAAGGGAACGGACGACATTCATCGCTTCATTGTGCAAAGCACGAATCGAATCGCAGCAGCGTGATAGTAATGAGATAATCGAGATAGTAATGAGATAATCGAGACTCAAGGTTGAGCCAAAGCCTGAGCATGAGCCTGGCTATTGAGTCTTGACAGTCGGTCAAGTGCCGCACCGTTTACTCATCGTCGATGCCAACCAAAATTGGCTTTTCATCTTTTCATTTCGTTTCTTCCTCTGGTTCTCTCCCTTTCGTTCTCTGTCTAGTTCCCTTCTTCCCCGCTCATTAATCACATCACTCTCATCTCTTTTTTCCACCCCGCCCGCTTGTGTTGCAACTAGCTCCCAGGTCTCGACTCCTCTCATGTCTCCCCAAAAGGCATTCACACCCACTCTGAGTTTCTCCGAGTATCTGAGCCCTAGACAAAAGAAGCTGCGAGTCTATCGTTGAATGTCTCAAGCTTCACTCGTCTTGTCTCAAAACGGCATCCGATGCTTGCCTACTCAACTGACTGCTGACAATTGCCCTACGGTGATTATGAGTCTAAGAGTCTAAGAGTCCGACCATCTGAGACGATTCTGAGTTGTTCAACACCACCTTTGACAACCCTTCATTGCAAGACGACCCAAGCCAGCCCAGTCATGCACTGCGTGATGTGACGCGATGCACAGCACAGCACAATAAAGCAAGCAAGCAAACCACATCGCACTTGCACTTGAACCATCTGGATATTGGGCACCCATGGCGCATCCACATTCCTCCTTATCCCCTGTTCCCTGACACATCACGCCTGTACAACCACAACCATCCTCACCCTGGGGCTTTCCTGGTCCGCGCTTGCTAAAGGTATCCTCAACGGAACCACTTCCTCGCCATCGTTCTTGTCTGCCTTCCCTCTCCACCGCTGGAGTAGGTTTTCCTAGGCCCTGGGCAGCTGGGCTGGCATGCCTACCGCTTATCCCTGCCCTCCCAGCCCACGCCATCCCAGCTGCACCTTGGACACGTTTTGGCTCCTCATTTTCTCTCGCGGAAGACGGAATCTAGCCCTGGCTTGCTCTAACGTCACCGTCACCGTCTTTTCGAGAAGACGACAAGGACTCATCAAAAACGATCTCGTCTCATCCATTCCTCCCGCAGCCAGCGGACGGACACAACTCCCAGACGCTATGGATACTTGTTCTCTCCGGCCCACTGCGGCGATCTTGATCCGGAAGGCCCTTCTGTCTCACGCTCATCGAATTTCGACCTGTCATATTCACGTCCAGGCCAGCTCTACGATTCGAGCACTATGGAAACATACGTGTACGAACTACAGAGTACGGTGTATGTCTGTCTATGCCATACACAATCCGTCAAAGAAACCATGACCGCTTTCTGTCTCATGCACCGACAGCTCTTCCATGACAGCACAGCAATGCAGTCGGCGCTTGAACGGATACAAACACGCTTCTGCCTCTGCTTCGCTCTCACTTATCCAACTTGTCGTTCACTGCTGCCCGACACGCCCGCAGCGTCTTATTCCCGCCGTGTCTCATTGAAACATTGCGCAGACTGCAAGAAGACGACCAATAGTCCGTCCCGAAGGCTGGTAGTACCTACAGAGTTCCATAGTCACTGGACTTTTGTCTGGCTTCTGGAGCTTCTCAAAGCAGGGACCTGAGTCGCACATCTCGTGTATCTGCCCCTCTCGAGGTGAATCCGGCAAGCTCCAAAGACCTCCCCAACTGATGATTGCATGCTAGCCCTACAGATACAGGCAAATCCATTCCACGCTCGTAGAAGGCGGTCAGTTGACGTGCAAAGTTTAACCCCCATAGCATGCAAGCTAGCAGACCGATGGTCTGTTTAGATCCACACTAGGACGCATGCTGCATCCGCTCCGTGGAAACATATTGCGCGCATCACATCGAGTGTCGGGTGGGTTGAATGGATGAACTTCCTGGCACTCCTGGCACTCCTGGCAGGTTGACCGTGGCCATGGATGCGATGCTCACCACCTTCTTCTGATCCCGCCCGCTGCATCTTAGGATCCTCGTCCAGGCCATGCCGTGCCATGCCATGCAAGCCCTGCCTCCCGGCCTCCTGGAACACCATTCACGGGCGGCCACGGTCGCTGCTTCTGGATCGATGCCGGACAAAAAACCTCGTTGGGACATGGCAGCGAACATACGCCACAGGAGCGGGTCGCCAGCAGACATGGCCACATCTTGCGTGCATCTCAGCCCACTGTGAACGGGATGCTTCCATTGGTAACGTATCACCGGCGACCTCATCATGGCTAAACAAATCTGCAACGAGTCCGAAGGGGGGTGGCCGGTGATCCAACTTCAGCAGCTGGCCTGTTCCGTTGTTTAATGTTGGAGGATGGACGAGACATGCATAGTTCCAAAGAGGCTACAATCATCGCTCCAGAATCTGATCCTATCTCTCCCTCGCACTCTTTCTCAGCATTCCATTGAGCATTCATTGTCAAACCTGCCTCCATTGTTTCGTTTGCTTCTTCGCTGCGAGAAAAAGCTTCCCCACACCATTATCGATTTCGATGTAATATCCCCTGCAGGCAACCCTACGAACTGAAATAACCAACCATCCTTGACGGCAAGGCTCCCCCCTCGCATGCTCCCACGCTCCCAAGATGGCCCCAGTGAGCCGACACCGACTATGACCGGCCACCGGGCACAGGCTTCTGCTTCTGCTCCAGCTGCCCGTCACACGGTCACTTGCGGCGACATGGGGAGCGGAGGACTATGTAGGGAAGAGGATCCTAGCTGGGGAATTGAGATTCTCTGGGAAGACCCTCCATCTCACCCTCCATTTGTTCTCTCTCCACACTCATTGGTCTCCCACCCACGCCCTTCCACCGTGTCTCATTTCTTCTTCGTATTATCGTTTAATTTTCTCTCCAAGGAGGAACTCATTCTTCACGTCGGCTTTTCTTTTTGGTTTCTTCTGAGCGGCCCACTGCCAGGCTTTCTCCTCTGGCAGACAGGCCAAATGCGCCTTAGGTGCCGAGTTCATAGACACTGAGAGGATCCAGCAGCTTTCGAGGCTGAACGGAGACTGTTATTAGTTGTCTTCCAGCGTGGTCGGCGCAAGTCAGTCATTATATCACGCCCGCGGCTGCCAACCCTACCAACGCGACGTGTGATATCAGATCCTTGGCCCCCAGCGACGCACAGCACCACCCGCGGGACGTGTCGTTGTACATGCACCGTGGCCACCTGCATAAGCTCTATGTAAGGCCCCAGAAGGAAGGAAGTGCGACCTGCGGCCCAATATGCGGCCCCTGACACCTCTGTCTATCGCCTACGGTAAGGTGTTCAGGGACAGGCCGAGTACAGAGGTACCTTGGTCTCGTTCCAGATGAGACGAGACGACACTCACATAGCGCTACGAATACTTGACCTACGGTTCACAGCCTACGAATACCTCAGAGGCTTAGACACCAGGATAGACTAGCAGACCGACGTAGCTGACGAGCAAGAGCCCAGTCAGCCCGCGACAAGAGTACCATGGTGCTTGGTGCGAATCATCGCAAAGAGGCGGTTGCCTCCCGCCGCCAGCAAAGTCACTAACCCGCCTCACCAAATGAGTCGTTCCAAACGAGTGGATAGCCGCAATAATACCACTGTCTTAGCCCTTCCGGGATATTTCGCGCTTCCGCGAAAAACAACGATGCTGTGCTGGTACGCAATCCGGCATGTTCGTTCGGCTCTGCCCTTCTGATCCCAGCTTCTGGAATCTGGCACGCGATGCACCCCTACCAGCCTACCAGTAACCTAGTCGTAGAACACGGGTGTGTGTGCGCGCGCGCGCGAGATCACCTCGCCAGACGAAATCACGTTCGCGAGGGACCTGACTTATGCAGACTGAGTGTACGGAGTACGGAGTACAGATAGTTGGTTTGAGTTACAGAAGTTGCAGCACACGTCCGATGAACGGGGGTTATTGCGACAACGAGACCAGCTCAAACCTGTTTCCGGTCTTACCGCGAGCTACGCGCGCGTATCTTACCGCGAAGCTCCCCGAGCTTTCCGTGACGAGAGTGAGTATCGAATGTCCAGAGCCAACCACGACCTGTGTGATGCGTCACACCAAACTTACATCGGTGATTTGGCGACAGCCGCTTCTGTGACTGGAATGAGATGATGAATGAGAGGCAGTGCAGTACTTCGTACAGTGCAATATGGAGACAGCGCAGGCGCATATCAGGGCTAAAGAGGAACCCTACCCTGTCTCGCCGCAAGATTGGCTTCACACCCCGTTGCGAGGCTCAAATTTGATCAACTTCGGAAATGTTACGTCTCGAGACCGCGGGCATGGATATCCCTTCAAAGAGCTTTCAGCCCGCAATGTGCCAGAGCCAAGGGAAGCAACGTCGGGACTGGAATAGCGTACCTCCTTGATTCGAGACGAACGGGCAACGCTCATCTCATCGGACCTTGTTCGCGACATTCGCAGGGAGTATGAACTCGACCGGATGTAACGTCGAGCTGGGAACATGGCCATGCTATCTGGAGGCATTCCCCTGGTTTTCAAGCTTTCATTTACTCGTCGCTTCCGGAGCCGACGCGCGAAACAAGCACCGTGCTGGGCAGGTAGGTTGCGGCATAATTGCAGACTCTGGGCAAAAAAAGAGGGGATAGAGTCTATTGTTATGCCCTTGATAAGATGGCATCGCCAGCACGCCTTTACGAATACTACTAATGTACATCACCGACCAAAAGCTCCGTTATTCGGAGTGGATGCGATGATGATGATGATGGTGTTTGACGGCAAGCAAATCTATCCAATTGGTACCAAGACACTTGCCCCCCAGCAGACCTCCAAGGTTTATCAAGGCCCCTCTGTACCAACCAACCGCTTTGGAATAGCTAAGACAGAAAAGTTTGGCGGTCTTTGACGGCGCTACGTTTCGTTCCATGTTAGTCGTCACAAAGTTTCGACCAATTCGGGGTCCTGGGCTAAAAGAGCCTGAGAGAGGGGCCGGCGAATGTGGGAGACGCAATAATATCAATCACGCGCCCAAATTCTAACATTGCGTCGTGGGAAGTTGCGAGATGAACCCCCACCGAAGGGCCGAAGTTCACGGTTGATAATGATGAGACAAGTGAGACATCTGCAACGACGACAGGAATGGGGGTATCGTTAATTACGATGATCAACTGCCGTCAACGCCTGAACCCAGCCAGGCCAGAGCGCATGTAAGGTGGGATATTGTTTGGGTTGCTGGGCAGATATTACACTGGCATGCTGTTGGTAGCCGAAAGCTGCATTCCGCCACCATTCAGAGTTTCCAAGCGGCATGTAAGTGTGTTGCTGAATGCTTCAGAACACGAACAAGTTCGGTGCTCTACAAGACCAACTCCAGAGCTTGGTAGCCCCCGTCGCTTTGCCAGGTTTTACCCCTTCGTCCAAGCCACCAAAAGCATATATGATGGTAAGATTTCGTTCGACATCGACAGGTCACATCTAATAACACACAGCGCGCGTTCAGAGAGAGAGACAGAGAGGATTGAATGCCTGTTCCCTGCCCGTCTTCACTGTCCGGCCCGTCCCTAGTAATTTGGCTTCCAAACTAGTCAGCAGCAGCGCACATCCAATAGAACCGAACCGTCCACTCGCATGAATTGGCGCGGTATCGTTAGTGCTGTGACGACTCTACTTCTTCTTTGGTTCCCTGACAGGCCGCAGACGCACGCACGAAAAGAAGGAAGAAGAAATTTGAAAGGTGATACTTTTGGAGTGCGCCGACGATCGTGTGGATGGTGCTTCCCTGGCCAAAGACGATCGATGTCGTCTCAAATCTCGCCAACTGGCAAATGAGTTGAGGGGACAGCTACACACGCATCTAATCCTCTTTCTCTTCAGTCATTCTTTCATCCACCCCCTTAGCAAACAAGGGTAGAGGGCCAAAAAGAGAGAGAATGCTACCCTGACGAAGCAAGTTAGGTATGTGATGGCACAAGGCAGGGCGGGTAGGCACGGCGAAGTAAGGTAGGGGAGGGAGGGGGAGCGGAAGCGGATAGCGGATAATACGTGATGTGAGGATGGCATGCGTCTTGCAGCTGCAACTAATAAACGGTTGCTTCACACGGGCCGTGGTTCATGCGCCCAACCCTCTCTCTCACAGAGTCTCAACCGACTTCGACCTCTTCCTGCTCCGTACTCCGTTACCCCCCTGCCTGGCTGGCTGGCTTTGCTGGACAGACCAGACCAAGCTCGGAAACGAAGTTATCGATAGGTAACGGGAGAGAGAAAGAGGAGAGGCACAGACGCGCGTGACGATCAATGACACGGGCTTTTTTTGGCCAGCGGGTGACCCGTGTGCCCGCCTCGTGCAGGTTGCTGCTCGTTATGCAGCAAGCCGTTTGGGGTGAGAAGAGAGGCAAGGTGCTTGCTTGGGTTTGCTTGAAGCCTACCTGGTTTGGGGGCTGCCTGGCTGGATGAGTGATGCGCGCCTAATAAGAGCTTCGCCATTTCATTAACATTGGCAGCTCCAACGCCAACGTCACTGTCACTGGTGAGTAGCTTGCGACGTCAGGGCGACGGAGCTCTTAACCGATACGACTCTGGAGGCATTCGTGACGAGGAACACCCTTTCTCTCGCACGATGCTCATCACTCCCGGAGCCAGCGCGCCAATCAACCTCTCACTCCAAGGTCAGGCGATTGTATGGACAGCAAACAAAGTATCTTGACAACAAGATGCGCGCAGTTACTGTTTTCGTAAGGCTACATATACATGTCATCGATGGTTCTTTTTTGGTTACTTCCGCCTGAACCCGCATCCGCACCCGAATGAACAGCTGCACGATTCATGAGAGCGCGAAATCCCTCCCCATGAACCGTGAACGAGCCCTCGTTACAACCCCACCCCTCGTTCGGGAAATTTGCAAGAAGGAGACGCTGCTAACTCCCCCCGGGTTGCGGGCGATCATTGATGTCTGATCACCCCCTAAAAAGCCCTTGATGATGATGAAAACATTTCAATCGGGGAGGGGGCCGCACTGCATAGCATACTTACCTACATGAACGGATACCCCATGAATGATGGAAACTTGTTGGCCTGGACTGGCCCATGAACTCCTCACCTCAAGGCTCAAGGTCCCTCCTCGGCCCTCCTGGGTGCGGTACCATTGGATTGATACGAAAACCTGGACAATGTCCATCCATTCCCCTCCCATTTCTTCGTATTCAAATACATCTAGAGCGGGTCATCCTTTTTTGTTTCGGTCCCTCTCGCGTTGGTCATCTTCCATTTGTTCCTCCAATCTTCGATGAGCGTAGCGGGTTTCGCTTGACAGACGTGACAGCTACAAGCTGCTTTGACCCCCTTCTGGAGGGGTTCGCAACGGAGCCAAGGTGAGGTTAGAGGCTCGTAGCCAAGCCCGAGGAAGTAAAGAATAAGGGGAAACCGTTACGCGCAGGCCAGTTTCGGCACGTGAAATGAACGGCTTGTTTGCAAACACTTCTTGGGACCAACGTTCGGATGAAAAAAAAAAAAAAATTGAAAAAAAAAAAAGGCGAGAGACATCACTTGCACAAGTGACGAAACCGCGTTTGGGGGCGCGGCCAGACAGGCGGCCCTCGGCTCACTTACTCACTCACAGGCACACAGCTCACTCACTCACTCAACTTTTGGCCGCGACGGGCCAGGGTCACGGGGGCGCGGACGATCTGGCACATCTCACTCACCACAAGTTTGTTTCCGCGGCACCGCCGTACCGGAACATGCACCCAATGCTTCCCCGGGCCCCCGGAACTGGGCGTTGGGGGGCCTGCAAGCAAACATTTCGTCTTGAATCAACAACAACCTCTTAGCCTTGCGAATTCAACACCAGTCACAACTCTGTTAGTGCAAGGGTTTCTTCTTCTTTTTTTTGCTAATGAATCCCGTTCTGTTGGTCGATCATGAACTTACGCTATGTACGAAATCACAAAGTTACAACGACATGATACAAAGTTTCCAAACCAACGAGATCGCCCTCGGCGGGCAACGATCATCCATCCGGAACCGAACAAACTACAGATACAGGGTTGACAAGCGTCGCTCGCTCCTTGGCTTTTTTGTGTTTGTTTTCTGCCCACTTGGCAATGATGAGCTGCATCAGGAGATTTTCTGCTGAGATCTGCCGGTCAAATTTTCTTTGAAGTTTTATTGAAACATTTTCTTACCCTTGTCCGCTTTTTGCATCTTATTTCTTTTGGCCTGTTTTCTCTCCTTACGGAAATTTCCTAGGTCACTTTAGGCTACCAATTTCTTCAACACGGGATATTCCGTCTCCCATTTTCAGTCATTATGGGAGGCCTCGAGATTGGCAAGTCTGTCGACCTGTGTGGTTTTCCGTTCTTCGATGCAAATGTGTGTGCACTTGTGGACTTTGATCAATCTTGTGTTCGTTCCTCAAGACACAAAATCGCGGGACTGAGGCTAAGCGGCCCGTCTTCCGCGTATTTACTCGACTATTCGGGTAATACGAACGCCTGGCTCCGTGGTTCTTCTCGGGGTGGGCAAGATGCTTCATCCCAAGGGAAAAGGCCAGATAACAGAATTCCAAGCGGAACGGCGGGATATCACCAGCGAGTTGTCATTGATAAAAGCTGGCTCTTTACAGAGTTGGTAAGAGAATGACTCCGCTGACGCTGTCGTGACGTCTGCATCTCTTACTTCTCCAAAAGGACGCTTTCTTCTCACCCGGGCGGAGTGTCTGCGGAGTGACGAACCGAACCGAGAAAAAAACGTGGTGCGGCCGGGTTTCCTTCGGGTAAATGTTGAGCGAAACGACTCGTTTACGCAGACAGCATTCCCGGGTTTACTATCTGTACAAGGATATAGCTAAACCTCCCCATCGCGAAATCCCTCACTCTTGAATCTCCAGTAGTATCAAGTATAGGACAGAGTGACAATCCGACCAAAACAAAGTTTCTTTGGATCGAGTTTGCCGGGCAATATTACACAGAAGTTCACTCTGTACAACCAAACAGAAATGGCACCTCTTCAGACATGGACGGTCGATAAGCCGTACCTCAACATCCACTGCGGCCTGGGCGAAGGACCATACTACGAAAGGGCGGCCAACATCCTCCGCTTCGTCGACATCAAGAAGAAGAGGGTCCACTTTGTCAACCTCGAGCAAGGGCCCGAGTCCCTGCGGACGGTGCAGCTCGACGTGCCCGTCGGCGTGACGGCCGACGTCGAGGGGGTCGACCCGGCCGACAAGATCCTGGTCGGCCTCAAGTACGGCATCGCCGTGCTCGACGTCCGGTCGGGCGAGTACGAGTACGTCGCCAAGCTGCACGACCGGCACAATGAGAGGCTGCGGTCCAACGACGGCGCCGTCGACCCGAACGGACGGTTTTGGCTTGGTACCATGACGGATTTCGGGCTGGGTGATTTCCAGGTTGAAGGTATGTTACGAATACTCTCTCATTCGGCGGGGGACGTGACATGAACCCTTGTCACACCGCATCTCTCACTCGCCTCACAGCCCCCGTCGTCATGACAACACAAACCTCTTCACCGCAAGCACACTCCCGAAAAAACCAACATGCACCAGAAGAAACCTTGTAAGAAGAACATGAACTCACTCATCGGGGTCACCGACCCCCTCCCTCTCTAGGCGCACTGCACCGCTTCGACGGAAAGTCGGGCAACGAGCAAGTCCTCCAGGATATCCTGATCCCCAACTCGGTGGGATGGTCCCCGGACAACAAGACAATGTACTTTACGCACTCCACCGACCGTAAAGTCTACGCGTGGGACTACTCTGTCGCCGACGGCGGCGCGCTCTCCAACAAGCGCGTCTTCTACACCCACGACGGTAAAGGCGAGCCCGACGGCTTCCGCGTCGACACGGAGGGCAACCTGTGGCACGCCGTCTACGGCGAGGGTCGCGTGCTCAAGATCTCGCCCCAGGGTCGGCTCCTTGGCGAGGTGCGCGTGCCGACGTTGGCGACGAGCTGCGTGCAGTTCGTCGGGACCGAGCTCTTCATCACGACGGCGCAGCTTGGCGAGGACGAGGGGACCGAGGAGCAGAGGGAGCTTGGGGGCGCGTTGTTCCGCGTCGATGTTGGCGCCAGGGGTCTGGAGCCGTTTGAGTTTAAGCTCTGATGGAGGGGGGCTTTCCCAGGGAGGGGGAGATGGATCCGGGCTTTGGATTGAGGGTTCAACGTGAGTTTGGGGTAAAGTAGCGCGTATCGTGGTTGAGTTCGTGGTCTCGTCTCATGGGTTCATGGCCGCGATCTCACGGATGGGGTCTGAGGAGCATGGGGCATGTGTCACGTAGCTGCATCAGATACGAAGCGCATCCTTCACGATGCCCTCACAATGGAACACGAGCTATGGTACTTTGGGGGGGGGGGGGCTGGATGGATGAATGGCTAGGGTTTCTGAGTCCAGACTCCAAAGGAAACTAGGTAGGCAAGAGGGTGATAGTGGGATGCGTTGATGACGGCAATGAAGCATACGACACCGCTCTTTCTCTCCCTGCCTCCCTCTCTTCGTCGCCGTGCTTACCCGCGTCTCGCTATCGATTGCTAAAGACTCATGCTACCTTGATATCGTGACATTTCAATGGCCAGGTTTCTCACGGACGTGGACGACGATAGCTTCATTGGGACTGGAAGCAGAATGCGTTGTCGATGGCACCGGGTCCGAGGCCTAAACACCCTGTCTAACCTGCGCTTCTTGCGCTTCACGATAATATCTTTTGGCGGTTTGCCTAGGAAAGAGCCCTTTGACTCATGTTTGTTGCCAATTGAGTTGGTGATATGCACTCCGTATTGTATATAGAACTGCAGCATGCAGCAGGTTCGCCTCACTTTTACACCGTTCAGGTCCATTCATATACGGAGGGTGGGAAGAAGTAGGGGAGATGCAACTGGCTTTTTTCTTTTTGCTTTTGGGCACCAATGCTTCCCGCAAAGTCTCAGCTCCTTGCTGCGTTTGCACTGCATGCCCAACTGGTCATACCCCATTGCATTCCATCGCGGGACGTATGGCAGCGGCGAAGGGAAGAGGTGCAGCTAGTGACGTCCGACATCGCTAGTGTATATGCAGAAAGGCAAAGGCCATGTATGTAGCCCGCGGAGGGGGAACAAGGCCCAGCCTAACCCAACGAACCTGGCGGTCTTGTATACGCCCACCACACCCACACCTGTCGTCCGTCGTCGCCTATCTGCTGCATCTGCAACATCGACGTGGCAGGCTGGTCGCGGGTCATGTACACATACATACAAGACCCGTGCGGACCAGGTACCGCCGTCCGGCCGGGTGTTTCTCCCTCTCTTACGCTCTTGCTTTCTCGCAGTCCCGGTTTTCTGAGATCGGAGAATTAAAGTGGCTCCCCAAAGGAACGAACGACCGGGGGCTGCCGCATCGTGCAGTAGATCGGAGCCCGAGCCGCCATGTCATCCCATTCCCATGCTAGACTGCCAGGGGAAGGGAAAAATCGAATTGCGGGATTGTGTCTCTTGGGTTTAACCTGGGCCTAGTCTAGCCCTTCCAGCCGGCCCCCAGGACCCCTGGTCTCCCGGCGATGAGCCCCGGATCCATGGTTTGCCGCCGCCGCCGCCGCCGTCGCCGTGCCGTGCCACCGCTGGTTTTTCCAGCCCGCTACTTGAGTGCATACATGCGTACCGGGAATAGATCCTTGGGAAAGCCGTTCTGCAGCTCCGTCTTGACAAGGCGCAGACCCGCTTGCTGAAAGAGGGCGCGGAACTTGTCATCCACCCTGTTTTGCGTTTGCCATGCGTCAGTGTCCTGTGTATGTATGTGTATGTACATGTATTATGCAGGTGTCTTGCATGCGCCGCAGACCATCCAGTTACGTGGGCCATTGAGAGTAAACTGATGACCGCTACTGAGGCAAAGTTTCCAACAACATGACGGGTTGTGGTGGGAGAGCTTGGCGACAATAGACCAGGGTAGGAAGTCGGGGAGGAAGATGATAGGTTTGAAGGTGAACTCACCTCGTCACACTGCTGTCAACATCGTCGAATAGATCGACACCGCTAGTGCTCAAGTTTTCCTTGACGACGATGAGACCATCATTGGGGGCAACAACGGCCTTACAACGGCGCATGTAGACTACAAGCTGGTCGTCGGTGAGGTGGCCGAGACACCACTGGTTCCAAATGAGGTCGTAGGCGGTGCCATCAAGTGGCTTCCACTCCTCGAGACCAATGTTGAAGACGGATCCCACGCCAGACTTTTCCTGTAGAGCGGCGGTGAACTTCGCAATGGGTTCGACGATGTCAACTTGTTCAGCTACATCGAGAAGGAAACCCTCTGTGATGCGGCCGATGCTGGGGGTTGGGGGTTAGCAAGGGTCTGCATGACACGGAGACTTGAACCGGGGAGACAGGGATGTTGCAGCAAGTATCCGTACACCACGGTGAGAGGTTCCGACATGAGATGCAAAAAGTAAGACAAGGGTCGAAGAAACCGGTTAGGAGAGGCAAATCATTAGCTCGGCCCGCTCGTGCAGTGTTGCGGTTGCGGTGGGTAAGGGTAGGTAGAGAGTGAAAGTGAGACAGAGTATGGAGTAAATTGAGCATGAGTAACTGCAGAAGGAGGGAAAGAAAGAAAGAAAAAAAAAGGTTGGGAGGCGGTGAGTTGAGATAGCGGTGAGAGACGCCAGGGGGCGTGTACGGATATGAAGTTTGCGAGGTCGACTTTTGAAGATCAAACGCAAGCCATGTCCAATGTACGGGTACACCGGACGGAAGAGAAGAAAGTCGCAAGAAAAACTCACCCGGCCCCGCCTTCCAGAGCGCGGCTCACCGTCCGCAGACCGCTCTTCGAGCCAATGCCCAGTTTGGCGAGAAAGTTGCGCGAGCCCTGCAGGTCGACCTTGCTGATGTAGGGGAAACCTCCCAGCATACCGTTCACGTCGGCATCGATGCCCTGCCAGTAAGAACGGCCATCGGCGGCGCTGATCTTGGCGTCTGGCGGCGGTGTGGCTGTATGTTCTGCTGTTCCTGTTCCTGCTGGTGCTGAAGCTGCGGCAGCTTCTTCGTCACCGGGCATTGTGACGCAACGCGGGCAGCGACACGCAACCTCACTTGCTCGTCTTTAGCAGGTGTGTGTATGTGTGGTTGATGATTTGTGTGGCTCGTTGGCAGACAGCGTGGTAGTGAAGAAACGATCGGAGGTTGCTTGGCTGTGTCACATTGTTGAAGAATATATGCACTGCATCACAGCAACAATGGTTGACGTGGATGCGAAGATGGAGATGACTCGGGTTTGTGCATCTTTACTGGATTAGAAAGAGTGACGTGCGTCTAGATGCATATAGACAGCTAATAGTACGCTAAAGCACAAGTATTGTTTAAACACACTTGAGAAAGCTCCTACCATGTGAGATAAGATAAGAGAACACCGATAAGCCGATTAGATTGGGACAGACATGGAAGTCTGGGCAGGCAGATAAGGAACCTAGAAAGTCGTCATCAATCACGCGAAAAGAAGCTCTCCAATCTAAGGTTAACCTCCCAACTCTATCATGACGGACTGCACCGGGCCCTTCGTTGCCCACTGCGCGCAATTAAGTTGCCATGAGAATGCTTGCCGGAATTTCTGCACTAGAAGAGTTTCTTTTGCCTTATGGTTCTTATATCCATCTGAACCTCCAGCCAACTTAAGTTAATCTCAGCTCCTGCAGCTGTCAGCCTCTCCCGGAACCCTACGGAACACCAGCGCGGAGCATAATCTCACTTCGATATCACGACGTGCCAAAATGACGACCTCGTCTGATGGCCCGTCGATTGCCAGGCCAGCCAGTGCTGTCTGGAAGACTCACTTCCCTTTCATATTCAGTCTGCATTGTGGCACCGCCTGCGCCCGAACACACACCTCTATGTGAACGACACTTTGCAGGATCGTTCGGCCGTTATGCGCATCAATTTCCAGGCAGCGGGACGTTGAGGGATTCGAAGGGACGATTTCGACTACATATTCCAGACGGTCTCTGTCTTCTCAACTCCTGGAACCAGTCAGGTGACTGTGCTTTTCCATTCGGAAATAATTGCGACGAAGCGGGAACTGTTTTGCCTATTAGCCGGCCACCGACAGCAAAAGTCGCCGTACTCAGCCACACAAGTCCATGCCGTCCTCGTTCTCAATTGCCTCATGGACGTTGTCAAACTGACTGGCTTCATCAACGGACGAGGTGGTTTTCCTGAAATGGACTCTCGAATGAAAATAGTTTGTCGTCCCGGTGGGATCGATGGGATTTCCTGTTGGGATCCGGCTGCGACGATGCTCACCTCGTCTCCCAGAGTCCCCACGACTCCGGCAAAACTTGTCTCTGAAGTGAGCGGCTCATGTCTAAAACTTCCAAAATCGGAACCCGAGGGACCGCAGTGTGGCCTGTGTCTCGAGTTGCAAACGATTATTTCCAAATACCTACCAACTGATCTGCGATGGAACCAGGAATCCGGGGATGCCAAGAGTTGTAACCAATATGCAACCGATATCAGGCGCGAGAAAGATTATGGAACAAAGGATCTGCAGATTCCTTGGAGGACATCGTTTCCTCAACCTCCAGGGCCTCACCCTGGACGCCTCGGCCATGGCCGGTGCCTTTGTCGACCTCTCTTGACCTGTCGACATTGACATCATGTGATACTCCAAGAAAACACAGCCCAGTCGAGGTTGTGCGTGGTGCGGTCCAGGCTTTTTTGAGGCAAGGGGCCTTTCTGGGCTGAACGCAAAGCCCAGCCGTAACCAGGCACGCCAGGTTTCTCCTACACACTACCACGCTTCTGATACTAGCCCGGGGCCCGAACGTCCAAGATTGGATCCCCTTTTCTTCCCCGCGGGGGCGGAACCTGCGGATCGCGTGAGGCGACGTTCGATTGCCTGTCTAGATCACTGGTTCGGTATTTCGGCAGCCTTGTGGCTGCATCTACTAGTTGAAGCTGTACGGCTCTTCGGCTTTTAAGCGCCGTGTCAAAAAGCTTGACTGACAACGGCCACCGACGACGGCATACTGCACCCGCGCCGCGTAAGTCTATTCCCTCGCATCACGGGTTTCCTTGAATTTTTCCTCGGTGAACACGATATCCGGAGCTGAACCAAAGTTCAAGGACAAGGGGCTGTCAGATTTACAGTTCTACGCTTCTTTCTTATTCCGTCACCAGGCCCTAGTCATTTGTCAATTGCGCATATCAGCAGTTCTCGAGAACGTCAAGAAATGCGCGCAATCCCCCCCTGGAACGTTTAATCCGCCAGCCTATCGAATCTTGTCGTTTTCGGATTGAGTCGTGGGCAACCATGCAACGAATGGTGTCGAGAAGACGACGAGCAGGGTGGGACGAAGCGAAGCGGTTTGAGGCGGTTTGACCTTGCTGTGTTCTGCAGCGACGGCCCAACCACAGCATCTTTCAACCACCAAAAGGGGATCAGGGGGATTGAACAAAGTTTGCTGCCTTCAAACATGAAAAAACGCGAAGAGAGGATGAGAAGAGGGGCACGAGCCAGGCAGATCACCCGTGGTCGTGGTTAATCGTGTGGATGTCTCTCCGGATCCCCAATGCTTATTCCTGAGACTGGCCAGGGGCGACCTTTGAGTTCCGAATCAAGCATGAATAACCTTACAAAGTCTGTGGGTGGCCCTGGTTCGCGCTGCATGATACGAAAAGGGTGTGGGACTGAAGACTTCGGACGAGGGAACAGAGTTTCGGTTGCCTCGAGCACCTTACCCTTTCTGAAGGTCTGGATGTAAAGGACTTGGGACGACGATGGACCGAGTCCCGAAACGACTCTCTGCGGTTGGCCTGACTCAACGGCTGTTGCTATTCTCATTACGATGCAGATGAGGATATCGACAAATCGTCTCTTGATCCATGAGTGGTGGCTCAGCGCCCAGCACATTGACATCTGTCCTGCTAGAGTGGTTTCAGGCACCCTCGGTCACAATGTCTCGACATGTTCCGCCTCACGCCACTCACAGTCGTATTGGGGCCACCTGATTTGGGACGAAGGACGAGTGAGTACATAAAGATCTGACCAGTTCCGCGTCGTTCAAATTTTTTTTTGATTTGGTTCGACGGCAGGCCTTACAGTATCAAATTTAATACAGACATTCCCTTGGAAACAGTTGCTTCGGTTCAACATTCATCACAGAATCATCTAATATTTCATCAACTTCGGTTCACTTCAGTCCATCAAAATGAAGTTCCTTACATTCGGATTCCTTCTCGCCTCGACGATCGTTAGCGTCAGCAGTGCTCCCACAGATATCGATAGCAGGGCTGTCAGGTAGGTCCAGGAGCATCACTCGTGCTGTATCGAGAAAGCCGACTAACAACACTTTCAGTTATCAAAACAACTATGACCAACACTTGGAGGACCGCGAGGAGCGCAAGGAGGCTCGCGACATCTCCATCCCCTCGTTCGCCGGCGTCGAGACCACCAGCGGTGTGG